AGCAAGGAATACTGCAAACAAAGGGAAATCTTAAAAACGAGATGGTTTTGGACAAATTGAATTAGACTGTGACAAGAATTTTCTCATTCATTGCTGAATACGGAGGAGTCCTGTTAAATGTAATGGTAAGTTATCCGCTTGAATGTGTACGTTTTATCACAATTACGGCTTTGTTGTTATATATGGGCTTCTCTACATGGTTTATGGAGTAACAGTGTCTTGATACTAGTTTGTCAACTGGATAAACTTAATCACATTGTCACTATATAAAAAGAACAACATGGCCGTGGCTGCAAGTTCAGCCAAGATCAATGGATAAATTGCCGGAGTTGACCCTGTCCCTGTCGGTTTCACAGAAGTGCGCTTCCTATTGACTCTCTTTTACTTCCACTCACCCTCTGTTAAACTCAGGGCGTTTTGTTTCATTTCTTTATTTATTGGGTGTAACACCACATTTTGAAGAGGACACTGCTTAATTCCAGCCCATCGTCCACCACGGCAGACTTTAAGATACTGTAGTCCAGTGTGGTGATCCTTAGTTTCATGCATCGTCATATATGGTGGAATGCAATGTGAAGTCACGTGTTTCATTAACGACCCTTCTTCAACACTCACCTAACTGTCACTAACCATGGGTCAGGTAGTCGACTCAGCGTCTTTTCGTTATTGCAAGTTCTATCACTTTTGATGCTCCGTGAGTTTTACTCCTAAATCCTCTTCTGTGAAACTCCTCTACTACCCAAGGTCCCAGATTGCTAGCAACCCTTACCAAATGTCTGTTCTCAGAATCAGTTCCGAGGCAATGGGACAGTAAAGTTCTGCAACCGGCAAGGAGTGGTACGCTATCAAGCACATACCAGGTCGCGATAAAAGAATGACTGTGAATGGATGGGCATTGCTCCATGAAATAGGCTTTCACCTCCAGTGATTACGTTGCAACAAAAGCCATAAATAACCGTAGAAAACACCGTGACAAGTGCTGATCTGACCCTTTATCACCATCAATCCGTTACTATAAAACCCGCAATCAGCTGCGTAAGGGCTAGAAGCCAAACCTCAAAGAAAAAGAGTGTGACACTTCAGATATGACCTTAGGAGGTACTCCAAAGGTTCTCCATGGACGTCTCGATCAGCTTGACTGATTTTCATACAAGAGAAAATTACCTAAACGTAAAGAAGTTCCGGATTGCAAGCCAACTAACGCAGTGCAAAAAGGGACATGTGCTACATTTAACAACTGCAACTGAGCCCGGGCTGCCAATGACTGGCAAACAATTCCGTCTATCTCAATACAGTTCGCTTAGTTAACATCGTTTACCAGCACGTATGCTCTACCCGTGTATAGAAAGCACAATCTGTCACGGTCCCGGGATGCAGACAAATGAGCCAAACCGTTTCCTTTTCGAACACAAGCATCGACATTTCGAAATGGGGAAATGATTGAACGGATGATAAACCAGACAAGATCTGCACAAATCCAAATCGGGAAAATTGTGCAAAAAGAAATGAAACACAATGTGGAATTTGTGCACAAAGTAACTGACCGTGCAGCCGATTCTCGCATATGAAACGTGACAAATGCTATCCCGATTTTTGTTTTGACTGCCCGAGCACCCTCTATGTCCAGTTTTCGCCGTAACTCTTCAGCCTCTTGTGTGTAGTAATTGATTGCATCTACCGGAGCCGGACAAAGACAACAAGCGCAACAACTCCCGCCGACGTTAGGCTGAGCGGAACCGGTCACATCTATTTCCTCATCCATCACCGCAGCGGTTGATCGCCAAGTGCCACGGTTTTCAGCAACATCCTCACTGGCTCTGCGGGTTTGTACGTGTGAAGGAGCGGCAAAACAGCATCGACATCGACCGGCACGATAGCATGTCGTGCAGGACCAACCGCAACAACGTGGAATCATAACCGGTCGTTGACCTTTCGCTTCCATATGAGCCTGTGAATAGGCTAGAGCAGCTTTTGCAGCTTCCCTGCAATCAACAGAGGAATGTCACGTTAGAAGACAGTCGAGGAGACGAACAGGGAACAAAGGTACAGATAAGTGTAAATATTTTACATTTTTATCACAAGGTAATATTTAAGAGATAGTGATAAATAACTGACATTTTCAAAAGATCAACAGTTTTAAATTCCTGCGCAGTCGGAATTAACGATAAAACTTCGACCGCTGATACTAAGGGCAATTGCGTCCTAATCCGTCGTTGTCAGGTAGACGGAGACAACTCGTATTTAGTAAGCACTCAGAACATAAGCAACAACTTGTAATTGTAAATCCTCAGTTTTACAGTCACCCAAAGTGATTTTCTGAACAAGTAAAGTTTGTTACTTTTTATCAACTCGATTCAAGATAGGAACTAGTGAATTCGGTTACGGATTTATCGTTTGAGGTTGGTTTGTTGACAGCTCGTTTATCAATCACTGTATTCAGTCATCATCCACAACTCTTCTGATTTTCATCACCACAAACATGAACATAACGTTCACTATATGCCCATTGTGGTTGACAAATCCGCTAGTCGTGACCTTGAAGGTGTGCATATGACTGGGGTACGTACTGGGTCAAATAAGCCGCAATATTCCTAAACTATAAACTTGTATGTGCTTAGCGAATAACAAGTTATGCACTGATCCGAGCACTGTTGTACTACAGATCACATTTATTTAAAATGGCTTTCCGGGTATTAAAAACAATAGTTCGGATATGAACGAAATGCAGCATTTCCAACGAGGATCAACACAGGATAAATTCAAAGTGTGATTCGTATGAGGAACATTATAGTTAAACTAGCCCATTCCATTGATACAGATACCACCAAGCAATGTGGACAGTCTTCAGTGTAGATTACTTTGCTCGAGAATTCAGCAGTCTTCAACGTGTTGAATGGATTTCACTTGCGATGGAATTCTTTGTGCAAGTTGACAAATAGACACGTGTGTCTTGACTTTGTAGCGATCCGACAGTACTGAGTATTTTTCGTGTCCTCGGACCACGAACGTTGGGGTTAGTGGTCGAAACTCTTATCCCTGAGTTCCATAGGTGACGGTCGAAACCTTGAGCGAATGACTATATCGATTTAGATTCGCGTCTATTTTTGAAAGATCAATGTATGTATGGAATAGAACGAGAACTGGGGTACTGATTACAATAGCTAAATATCCCGAGTGCGTCAAATTCGTGGCCTAAACACATGGAGTCCAACTGGATTACTACTGTCTACTAGTTTGAACAGTTGGCTTTAACTGGGTCGACGAGATAAACGTGGAGAACTGACTGACAACTTTACATGTCTTGTCAGTTTAGGAAAAAACTAATTTATGTTGCACTAAAAGTGGCACGCTAAGATGGAATCAGTTGTGAAGCGCTAATTATGTATAAACAAAGACGAGACACGTGCAGTGTACGATGAGATACAACGCGCCCAAGTGTGTGCTAGTCCATTAGTATGAAACCTTGCGTGGGGAGCATTGCATGAACAAGATTAGTTTGACAGTAACCCGTCTGCGACCGTGAAACATCAGGCCCAAATTTAGGAAACGAAATACGCGATGAAATGGTCATACAATCGGTCATTGTATTTCTATATAAGTATGTGTATGAGAGAAACGACGATGAAGCGGGGGGAAAAATAACTAACATGATAGTGAATGGAAAATGAATTTACTATGAAACTATCTGTGCTGTTCGATTAAGCATTTATCGATCCCACAAATTTGTTATCAGCGCATGAAATCTGTTCTCGCGTGGTTACCAAGGTTGGATTTGACGAAATTGACGGTCTTAAATCTGCCACATATCTGGGGTAGAGTTCACAGGACACACCCGCGCGGTAATTCAAGACATATGGGTACACAGTGAATCACCACATTTCGTATTCTATGAACCTTATTTACGTTGCTGCCTGGAGTTGAAAAGTGTGAATGGTGCATCGACGCAGCTATATTGCCATATCATCGAAACACTGACGGCGTATCCTTATGCATGGAAGCTTCCTTCCTTGCGTGTAAGTTTTTTAATACTCCCTTCACTGCTTTATACCCACAAACACGATTTTCATCAGAACTATTATTATTACTATTATCAATGTTATTATTATTATTAGTAGTAGTAGTATTTTCGTTCTCAGTTTAACTGCATTCGTAGAAGACAGAAAATAAAAACACAATTGACACACGGAGCTGCAATTTACCGCATTCGTGGACTTCGTACTCAGTACAATTTAGTCTTGAATACGAATTTGATAGGACACAATCGCAAACTTGCAGTCAAAAATCGAATATTGTTGCCGGGGTGTAATCGGGATTTGTCACCCATATGAGTGAGTGATTTGTCTTACTATTCAGGATAATATTTTTGTTTTTACTCATTCGATTTTTTCAATGGCTAGACACTTCTGATGATTCCGGATGTGATTTTTTCACTTGTATTAGGTTAACTCCCTAAAAATTAAACGTATTTCATTTTTGACAGGAACCCCTTCCGGGACTTGAACATGGAACCTTCTGCAAGGAGTAGAACCGCTTACAAATGAGGCACGTGATTGACGGTCAACATTTGGAACCTATAGATCAATCAATTTAGGATTCCATGTGAGTTCGTTGAAGAAAACAGAACAAATGTTTCGGGAAACGTCCAATTCAAGTTCAACGAGCAGATTTATCGACAAAAGGATGGTGTGGCTATGGGATCACCTCTATGACCGTTGTTTACCGATGTGTTCATGGCGAAACTCGAAAATAACCAATTCAAATCTTCCATTCAGGATTGTGTGTTATATACACGATATATGAATGATATTCTGTGCGTGATCAATACAACATCAGGAACAAATGAGCTCTTGAGCAAATTCAATGCTGCTCACCAGAACATAATATTTATTTTAGAAATGGAAAACCACAACAAATTGGCATTTCTAGACGTCTGTTTTTATCGACAAAAGGATGGTGTGGCTATGGGATCACCTCTATGACCGTTGTTTACCGATGTGTTCATGGCGAAACTCGAAAATAACCAATTCAAATCTTCCATTCAGGATTGTGTGTTATATACACGATATATGAATGATATTCTGTGCGTGATCAATACAACATCAGGAACAAATGAGCTCTTGAGCAAATTCAATGCTGCTCACCAGAACATAATATTTATTTTAGAAATGGAAAACGACAACAAATTGGCATTTCTAGACGTCTGTTTGAGTCGTAGAT